CCTACAGTGATCCATGTTCCTCGTAGAGTAAATGCCCTATTATTAGTTGATATAAAAACTAATTTACTCTATTTTAACTTACCAAGATTCTCCTTGCCTTGTAGCATGGTAGACCTCATGCGGAATTGCTGAGACTTGTCCTTTATCCAACGGCCCTGTAACGTTGAAGTCGTAAAGGAACCATGCGTTCACATTATTCTCCGAATCACAATCCGGAAGAAAATGCATAGCATCTTGGCATTCGTCCTGTAGATTTTTGTTAAATGGTCGATTGAGAATCTGCTGACAAATATCACGCCCGAGACGATTGACCCGTTCTACTGGGTTTGCCGCCCGTGTTGCAAGAATTCTGAAAAAGACTAGTATACTCGGCAATTAGAAATCACTATTAAGAGTGCAAATGCACCTCTTCGGAGTAAGAGTTGGTCATTTGAAAGAGTTTTTCAGAAAGTGTACCCCACTCCTAAACCTCCTTCCTTACTTTGGGGTCTTGCTTTGGAAGGTGGCACAAGGGGGGTTTATTCGCGCCAAGGAACCCCAGCTGCTAACCTCCGGGGGCAAACTTAGCGAAGTTAGGGGCAGGGTGGCACCCAACCACTGGTGGGGCACCACAGGCATGTAGCGTTAGTCAGCTTGCCCCCTTACTGGCCCGGGTCCTCAAGTCCTTGGAGAGCCGTTGTGAGCTTGCACCGAACAAGAAGGCGCAACAGGTCACCTTATCGCCTCCGAAGATCGTCACTGCACCGCAGATTGCTTCACCAAAACTTGCCCTTGGTTCGAGTCCAGTCGGCCGCATGCCTGGCCATGGTAGGCAGGTCGAGACGGTAGCTTCAAAGCTTGAGAGCTCGTATCTGCGTGTCACCACACGCCGAGGTATGTTTACCCGTCATGGCTATAAATGAGTGGGATTCCCTGGGCCTTGGCTTGGTGCTTGCTCTTCAGCCTTGCTCTTAGCCTTGCCTCCCTCCGCAGCCCCTCCCATCCCATCCCATCTCACCATGTTAGGAGCTTCAGTCTTCCTGCCTGTCGCGGCCGCTGTCCAGGCTGTCTTTGGCACCCCCATCCAGCCGCGTACTGCCTATGCAGTGAAGGAGACACACCGCGTGCCCCGTAGATGGGTAAATATCGGTCGGGCGCCGGCCGATAGGACGTTGAATCTGCAGATTGGTGTCAAGCAGGGCCAATTCAGCGAGTTGGAACGCCATCTATATGAAGGTAGGCGTGTTCCTCTCCTGCGATTGGGACGGAACTACAATATGATTTGAGGCATTGAAGCTGACTGAAACAAACCACCAGTCTCTGATCCGAAGCATGCTCGCTATGGCCAGGTAATTATTCCTCTCTTGCTTTCTCCTCTTGTTCTGCGTATTCTAAGACTCTCCTGCCTTGCTGGTCGCGTGCTGACAACCGCCCAGCATCTTACCTACGAGGAAGTCAACGAGCTCGTCAAGCCATCCGACGATACTCTGGATCTCGTCCACCAGTGGCTGGAGGCCAATGGCATCGTTTATGTCTCCTATAGCCCTGCTATGGATTGGATTAACGTCGATGTGGATGTCGCTACCGCCGAGCGTTTGCTGGACGCCGAATACTACATCTTCCAGCATGAAGATGGCACTGAATTGATTCGCGCCCCGGAATGGTCCCTGCCAAAGCATCTCCATGAGCATGTGGATGCCATCCAGCCCACCACCTCTTTCATGCGTCCTGTCAAGAGAGCCGACGTGGCAGCAGTCCCTATCCCTTGGCCCTACCCAGGCCTGCACAGCCCCACCTCTCCCGCGCTGAAGAAGGCGTGCACAATCAACGGCACCACTCCGGACTGCTTTTCCACACTATACCAGACAAAAGGATATGTGCAAAAGGCTGCAGGCAAAAATCAGATCGGGTTCAACAACTTTCTCGGCGAAATCCCAATCCGACCAGATACCAAGCAGTTCCTCACAAGATACAGGCCAGACGCCGTGGCTGGAGCCTCTGAGTACAAGTTCGTCGACATTGCTGGTGGGCCTTCCCAAGACACGGGACTCACACCTGCACAAGCGGAGAAGGGTATCTCTGTTGAAGCCAATCTCGACGTCCAGACTATCGTCGGCATGACCTACCCCATGCCTGTCACCGCCTTCTCCACCAACGGTACGCCGCCCGAGATACCTGATGCGGCAGCTGGTGACCCCCCTGGAAATGAGCCTTACCTGGTCTGGATCAACTACGTCCTTGCCCAGAAAAGCCTCCCCCAGGTCATCAGCACCTCCTACGGCGACGACGAGCAGACTGTCCCCCTCGACTATGCCAAGCGGGTCTGCAACGGCTTCGCACAGCTCGGTGCACGTGGCATTTCTATCCTCTTCGGCTCTGGCGATGGTGGCGTGGGTGATGCTGCTGGTAACGACGGCAGTGTTTGCATTTCCAACGATGGGAAGAATACCACCCAATTCACGGCCTCCTTCCCTCCTTCTTGCCCATATGTCACGGCCGTCGGAGCAACGCAAGGCTTCGAGCCTGAGACCGTGGCCATGAGACCTGCCAACAGCCTCGGCCCCGATGGGAAAGTCCACGGATTTTACGCCTCCGGCAGTGGTTTCAGCCAGTACTTCCCCCGCCCGAGCTACCAAGACAAGGTGGTCCCGCTGTATGTCAAGGGCCTGAAAGGCGAGCACTCGGGTCTCTTTAACCCCAGTAAGTTCTCTCTTCTCTCATAAAAATCAATGCAACAGCAAACTAATTTCCGATGGCCAGACGGCCGCGCCTACCCCGACATCGCCGCCCAAGGTCTCTACTTCCAAATCGTATGGAACTCGACCTTCAAGATCATCTCCGGGACCAGCGCCTCGTGCCCACTCATGGCGTCCATTATCGCGCTTACAAACGACGCGCTCATCTCCTCGGGCAAGCGACCGCTCGGCTTCTTGAACCCCTGGCTCTATAGCGAGGGCTATAAGGCGTTCACTGATATCACGGAGGGCATTAGTCGCGGATGTAATACTACTGGCTTTCCTGCTACCAAAGGTTGGGATGCAGTCACGGGATTTGGCACGCCGATCTTCCCTGAGCTGGTGAGGATTGCTAAGGAGTGTGCTTAGAGGGGTGGAAAGCTGTTGTGCTATGAAGTGGCATTCGTATAGTTAATCACGCAACACAACGAGAAAAGGGAGCAAAATCCTGATACCATTGCAAGGACATGTGATCTCGCTTTCCCCGTGGCTCAGCGAATCACACTTGATCTGATTTAGCCTTCTCTCATAAGAAATCCGACATTCTTTACACAACACCAGTGTGCGATCTCTCTGCTAATATCTAAGTACCATTATTCTGCCACCATCTTTAGCAGCAGTCACTCTCTCAAGTGTGTATCCTGAACAGCGTTAATGGCCACAACCGGGGCAACGCTCTATGAGAGTGGTCACACCTCCTTCTTGTGGCCCAGGGCTCAAGGCCGGGTTGACCACAAAAGTCCTATATTGAGGTTACATAGCTAGACTAAGTAGGAGTTAAGGTCGTTACACAAACCCAAATATAGAAGTAAAGTCTTCCTCGTTTCTCGATTGACCTTTTGGGACCGAATTGAGGTCCACTTTGCGTCCGGAGCTATTTGAGTAGTTAGGGTTTGTCTATCCACATTCATTCACAGGTCTGTTGAGATTTGTGGTCTCTGGTGAGACCCCGGGGTGCTAGGTAGATTAATTATGGTAACATTCTATTCTATACTTTTCTGCAATGCCGACTGCTTTCCTCGTAGTTTATAACCGCATTCTCTGCTCCGTCTGGCAATCGATTAGATGCAATGGTCTCTTGTAATTGTAGGTTCCCAATTGAGAATGTTTGGAAGTTGAGGCAAGAGGTCGGCGAACGTGCTGACTCTACGCCCGAGCCCGGAGAATGAATAGAGTCTGAGGTAAAAACGCTGAAGGCTTGAGAGGTTCCTAATTTGTATAGGGTCAACTTACAATTATGCACACGGAGGAACTGGATGTGGAACCATTCGCTGGGCTGGCCATTGAGAGAAGTGCCTCTTCGGAAATATCAAATCATCGCAAAGAACGCTCGATGTTATATGAAGACAACGGCATAAAGTATCGGGAATACAGGGCATTATTTATAATATAGTTTATATAGGCTACTAAATGCCCTATAAGGTCTTACTTTAATTTTCCTGTAGCAATTCTCATTTCCTATAAGCCCTTATAGGCTTATTAAAAGTGCCCCTAAGGCTTAATATGGGTTTATATAGCTTAATAAATGCTAAACGCCCGAAGGGGCATAATGTATAATATATGGGCGTTTGCGATTTTTGGTAGGGTGGCACGTGCCGAGTCGTAAGTCATAAGTCATACGCTCGCTGGTGATTTGATCCTTACGGCTTTCCGTAGCAACTCTCATTGGATAGACTAAGCGAGGCGACAAATTAGGAAATCGGAGCCGATGAGGCTTGAATTGGGGCTGTGTTTGACACGACCTATCTTGATATCCTCAGCCTAATCTATTCATATCATAAACTGCTT